GGACACTGGGGTAGGTGAATTGGGAGGGGGTGGGGGGCACTGGTGGTGGCATTGGGAGCACCGGGGGGGGCAGGTATTGGGAGGGGGGGCACCTGGAGCGCTGGGGGAGGGGGTACCGGGGGCACCGGGGGGGCACCAGGAGCGCCGGGGGGACACCTGGGGGGGCACCGGGGGCACGGGGGGGCGAGGGGGGGGGACACCGGCATGGTGGGGGCACCGGTAGCACCGGGGAGAGGGTACTGGGGGCACTGGGGGGGTATTGGGAGCACCGAGGGGACACCTGGGGGGGCACCGGGGGGGACAGTGGGGATGGTGGAATTGGGGGATGGGGTGGGGGGCACCGGTGGTGGCACTGGGAGCACTGGGAAGGGGGCACCGGGGGGGCACCGGGAGCACGGGGACATGGGGGGGCTGGTTGGGGGGGGGCAGGCACACGCAGCCTGGCACCGAGCGTGGCACGGGGGGGGGGGGCTCGGTGCCCCCAGCCCTGCGGCAGCGTTGCGGCGCCGCAGCACCTCGCCAGGAGGGCAGGCTGCCACCAGGAGGATTTATGGAAAGGCCGGGGCTTCCCGGGGGGGGGGGCAACGGGTGCAGCCCCTTCTCGGGGTGCTGCACCTGGAGGAAAAATCCCATGCGTGGGGAAATGGGGACAAAATGGGGACAAAAACCCCAGCAGAGCGCCCGTGGGGACGTCCCGTGGCGCACGGTGGCCTGGGCACGGGGGTTTGTGCCCCACACGAGGCCCTGGGTGATGCCGGGGCTCAGTGCTGAGATTTTGGGGTAGGGAAAATAACCCGAGGAGCTTTTTGGGATCATACAGAGCCCCGTGGGGTTCCCCCGCTGGTTGTGGGGCTCGGGGGTGAGGCTGGGGCTCCCCATCCCGCTGCAGCCCCGCTTCGCTCGCGCCGACGCAGAGGGCACGGAAAAAGGCAGGGATGGATATGGGGCAGGGGTGGATGTGGGGCAGGGATGTGGGGCAGGGAGCAGCCCTTCCAGACAGGCTGTGTCTGCCCTGCTTCCCAAACCTGTTTTTTTATTATTATTATTTTTTATTTTTAATTTTTTCCACCCTGGCCCCAGGCGGCTGGGGCCGTGCCAGCAGCCCGCAGCGTGGGGAGCGCCTCTCCCGGCCCTGCCCCCCCCCCCCGGGGCCTCACCTCTCACCTCTCCCAAAAATTGGGCAGATGGCATCTGTGGGACCAGCAAAACTGCCCGTGCGCACCCGGCTGGGGCACGGCGCCGGAGATGTGCTGGGGTGAGGGGGTTTAGGGGGGGCAGGCTGGGCTGGGGACCCCCCTCTGCACACCCCATCACCGTCAGCTCCCTCTGTTCAGTGCCCAAAACGGCTGAAATTTGGGGCTGGGTGCAGAAATCCCAAATCCTGGCTGCCCCCACGAGCGGCTCAGCGGGGAGCTGTGGGGGTGCTGGGTGCCTCTAAGCCCCGCTCTGGGGACATTTGTGGGTCCCCCCCCCCAAAATTCACACACATCCCATTGCCTTTTCCTGCCGGAGCCGAGCCCTTTTGCCTTGGTGCTTTTTTTGGGGCAAATCCCAGCGTTCCCAGTAACACCCAGGCCGGGTTTCCTACTGGTCCTGCGCCCCCAGCTCCAGTGCCCGCGCGCTGAGCCCCAGCTCTGCCCCGCCACCGCCCCGTCCCGAGGTGTTCGGGGTGAAAAAAAAACAAATTTTGGTGTTAATTGCTGGGATTGGGGGCTCACACGCGTGGACGCGCAGCTGGGAGAGGAAGCGGAGCTGCAAAGCGGCACTGGGCAGGGAAAAGGTGGCCAAAAGGAGAGCAACGGGAGGCAGGGCCCTGCCAAAACTGCCCCCGTGCCCTGTGTCATGGAGCTGGGGATGGGGCTTGGCACGGCTCGGCACGGATTGGCACAGTTTGGCACAGCTTGGCACAATTTGGCACAGCTTGGCACCGTTTGGCACAGCTTGGTACAGCTTGGCACAGTTTGGCACAGCTTGGCACAGTTTGGCACAGCTTGGCACAGCTTGGCACGGCTCAGCACGGCTCAGCACAGCATGACACAGCATGGCACAGCTTGGCACAGGTTGGCACAGCTCAGCACGGCTTGGCACAGCATGGCACAGTTTGGCACAGTTTGGCATGGCTTGACATCACTCAGCACAGCTTGGCACAGTTTGGCACAGCATGGCACAGCTCAGCACAGTTTGGCATGACTCGCCATGGCACGGCTTGGCACAGTTTGGCACAGCTTGGCAAAGTTTGGCACAGCTCAGCACAGCTTAGCACAGCTTGACACAGCTTGGCACGGCTTGGCACGGCTCAGCACAGCATGGCACAGTTTGGCACGGCATGGCACAGCTCGCCCTGGCACAGTTTGTCATGGCTTGGCACAGCTCAGCACAGCATGACACAGCTTGGCACAGCTTGGTACAGTTTGGCACGGCTTGGCACGGCTCAGCACGGCTCAGCACAGCATGACACAGCTTGGCACAGCTTGGCACGGCTCAGCACAGTTTGGCACAGCTTGGCATGGCTTGGCACAGCTCAGCACAGCATGACACAGCATGGCACAGCCTGGCACAGTTTGGCACAGCATGGCACGGCTTGGCACAGCTTGCCTTGGCACAGCTTGGCACAGCTCGGCACAGCTCGGCACAGCTTGGCATGGCTTGGCACAGCTCGGCACGGCTCAGCACGGCTCAGCACAGCATGACACAGCATGGCACAGCTTGGCACAGGTTGGCACAGCTCAGCACGGCTTGGCACAGCATGGCACAGTTTGGCACAGTTTGGCATGGCTTGACATCACTCAGCACAGCTTGGCACAGTTTGGCACAGCATGGCACAGCTCAGCACAGTTTGGCATGACTCGCCATGGCACGGCTTGGCACAGTTTGGCACAGCTTGGCAAAGTTTGGCACAGCTCAGCACAGCTTAGCACAGCTTGACACAGCTTGGCACGGCTTGGCACGGCTCAGCACAGCATGGCACAGTTTGGCACGGCATGGCACAGCTCGCCCTGGCACAGTTTGTCATGGCTTGGCACAGCTCAGCACAGCATGACACAGCTTGGCACAGCTTGGTACAGTTTGGCACGGCTTGGCACGGCTCAGCACGGCTCAGCACAGCATGACACAGCTTGGCACAGCTTGGCACGGCTCAGCACAGTTTGGCACAGCTTGGCATGGCTTGGCACAGCTCAGCACAGCATGACACAGCATGGCACAGCCTGGCACAGTTTGGCACAGCATGGCACGGCTTGGCACAGCTTGCCTTGGCACAGCTTGGCACAGCTCGGCACAGCTCGGCACAGCTTGGCATGGCTTGGCACAGCTCGGCACGGCTCAGCACGGCTCAGCACAGCATGACACAGCATGGCACAGCTTGGCACAGGTTGGCACAGCTCAGCACGGCTTGGCACAGCATGGCACAGTTTGGCACAGTTTGGCATGGCTTGACATCACTCAGCACAGCTTGGCACAGTTTGGCACAGCATGGCACAGCTCAGCACAGTTTGGCATGACTCGCCATGGCACGGCTTGGCACAGTTTGGCACAGCTTGGCAAAGTTTGGCACAGCTCAGCACAGCTTAGCACAGCTTGACACAGCTTGGCACGGCTTGGCACGGCTCAGCACAGCATGGCACAGTTTGGCACGGCATGGCACAGCTCGCCCTGGCACAGTTTGTCATGGCTTGGCACAGCTCAGCACAGCATGACACAGCTTGGCACAGCTTGGTACAGTTTGGCACGGCTTGGCACGGCTCAGCACGGCTCAGCACAGCATGACACAGCTTGGCACAGCTTGGCACGGCTCAGCACAGTTTGGCACAGCTTGGCATGGCTTGGCACAGCTCAGCACAGCATGACACAGCATGGCACAGCCTGGCACAGTTTGGCACAGCATGGCACGGCTTGGCACAGCTTGCCTTGGCACAGCTTGGCACAGCTCGGCACAGCTCGGCACAGCTTGGCATGGCTTGGCACAGCTCGGCACGGCTCAGCACGGCTCAGCACAGCATGACACAGCATGGCACAGCTTGGCACAGGTTGGCACAGCTCAGCACGGCTTGGCACAGCATGGCACAGTTTGGCACAGTTTGGCATGGCTTGACATCACTCAGCACAGCTTGGCACAGTTTGGCACAGCATGGCACAGCTCAGCACAGTTTGGCATGACTCGCCATGGCACGGCTTGGCACAGTTTGGCACAGCTTGGCAAAGTTTGGCACAGCTCAGCACAGCTTAGCACAGCTTGACACAGCTTGGCACGGCTTGGCACGGCTCAGCACAGCATGGCACAGTTTGGCACGGCATGGCACAGCTCGCCCTGGCACAGTTTGGCATGGCTTGGCACAGCTCAGCACAGCATGACACAGCTTGGCACAGCTTGGTACAGTTTGGCACGGCTTGGCACGGCTCAGCACGGCTCAGCACAGCATGACACAGCTTGGCACAGCTTGGCACAGCTCGGCACAGTTTGGCACGGCTCAGCACAGCATGACACAGCATGGCACAGTTTGGCACAGCTCAGCACAGCTCAGCACAGCATGACACAGCATGGCACAGCTTGGCACAGCTCGGCACAGTTTGGCATGGCTCGGCACAGCTTGGCACAACCCTTCCTGTGCCCCCAGAGCCGCTGGCGAAGGCGGGCAGAACAGCACCCGCAATAAACCCCAGATCTTGTAAACAACCCCGATTTTTTTATTATTTTCTCCCTTTTCCTCTCGCTGAGCCCCAACCTTAACGGCCGGGCATGTACGTGCACACACGCAGTCACACACGTGTGCACACGCGGGGTGCAAGCACACCCGGGGTGCAGAGTTCACACACGTGTGCACACGCGTGGACACGAGTGCATGTGTGTGCCCACGTGTGTGTAGCTGTGCATGCAGCTGTGTGCACGTGTGCACAGCCCTATGTGTGCAGATGTGTCTGTGAGTGCATGTATGTACATACGTGTGTCTGTGTGTGTATGGATGTGTCCCTATATGTGTCCGTGTGTGTGTGGATGTGTACATGTGTGTTTGTGTCCATACATGTGTGTATATGTCCATGTATGTAGGTATATGTCCATATATACGTATGTTTGTGTCCATATGTGTATGTATGTTTGTGTACATGTGTGTTTGTGTCCATATATGTATGTATATGTCCATGTATGTATGTATATGTCCATATATGCATGCATGTGTCCATATGTGTGTGTTCATGTCCATATGTGTATGTCTGTGTTCATACATGTACATTTGTGTCCCTATGTGAACATGTGTATCCCTATATGTACATATGTGCCCATGCATGTACATATATGTCCATGTATGTATATATGTTTGTGTCCCTACATGTACACGTGTCCCATACATGTACATACGTGTCCCATGTATGTACATATGTCTGTGTCCATGTACATGTTTCCCTATATGTACATATGTGTCCATGCACGTACGTGTGTCCATGTATGTTTGTGTCCCTATATGTACATAAGTGTCCCTACATGTACATATGTGTCCCTACAGGTACACACGTGTCCCCACATGTACATACATGTCCCATTCATGTACACACGTGCCCCATATATGCACATACATGTCCCCACATGTCCTCACATGTCCCATACATGTACACACATGTCCCCACAGGCACATACATGTACATACAAGTACACATGTCCCATATATGTACATATACGGGACACGTACACATCTCCACATGTACATACATGTACCATACATGTCCCATACATGTCCCCACGTGTCCCTACATGCACATACATGTCCCCACATGTACATATATGTCCCCACATGTCCCATACATTTCCCATACATGTCCCCACATGTACATACATGTCCATACATGTACATGTGTCCTGTATATGCACATACATGTCCCCACGTGTTCCTACATGCACATACATGTCCCCACATGTACATATATGTCCCCACATGTACACACATGTTCCATACATGTCCCATACATGTATACACGTGTCCCCACATGCACATACAAGTCCCCACATGTACACGTGTCCCATATATGCACATACATGTCCCCATATGTACATACATGTCCCATACATGTCCCGTACATGTACACACGTGTCCCACACATGCACATACATGTCCCCACTTGTACATACGTGTCTCGTATATGCACATACATGTCCCCATATGTACACATGTGTCCCATATATGAACATACATGTCTCCACATGTACATACGTGTACCATAGATGTCCCATACATGTCCCCACGTGTCTCTACATGCACATACATGTCCCCACACGTACATATATGTCCCCACGTGTCCCATACATGTCCCATACATGTACACACGTGTCCCCACATGTCCCCCCCCCCCCCCCCCCCCGTCGGGGCCGGTCTCGAACCCGCGGCCCCGCGGTTCCCGGGCTCCGCTTCCCATCATGCCCCTGCCACCCGCCGGCTCCGCGGTGCTCCCTGGGAGTTGTAGTCCAGCGGCCGCCCCCCCCGCACTGCGCAGCGCGGGGCGCGGACTCCACCTCCCATCACCCCTCGCGCGTCGCCCCGCTCCGACACCGCTCCCGCGCCTTTCCCCGCCTCAGCGGGCGGCCGCCATTTTGCGTGCCGGCTGAGGCGGCGGCGGCGGGGCAGGAGGGCGCGATGCTGGGCTCCAGGGCGGCCCGCCCGCCGCCGCCGGGGCTGGCGAGGCTCCTCCGTGCTCAGCCGTGGCCTCCGACCCCTCGGGGAGCCTCCGGAGCTCCGACAGCGACTCCCGGGCCGGCGGCAGCGCCGTTGGTCCCGGGCTCGGCCGGCAGGGGCCGCCGCGAGCCCGCTGTGAGGGGGAGCGCGGCCTTGCCCTGGCGGGGGGCGGCCTGCGGGGGGCGGCAAGGCCCGGGGGGAGCCCCCTCGGCTTTGGTCGCTGCGGGGGGCCCGGTGGTTGAGGGGTGTCCCCCCCATACCGGCCTCGGAGCCCCCGGTGGGCGGCGGAGGGGCTCCTGTGGGGCTGTGCCGCCTGCGGGCCTGCTCGTCGCCGCGCTGGCTGCCTGCTACGTGAGGGACCGAGCCACTAAGGGTGATTATTGGTGTCCCCACAGGGCTGGGGGGGGGTTGGGAAGGGTCTCAGGGGGGAATTGGGGAGCTCTGAGGGGTGAGGGGGGTGCTGGGTGCCTGTCCCGGGGGGGTGCTGGGCTGTGGGGGTCCCTCAGGTGCTGGGAATGAGCCTCAGGGTGGGCACAGCTCCTTGGCTGCTCCCTGGGGTCGTGCCCTGTGTGTCAGAGGACAGCAGGGAGCTGTCACCTCACGCAGGGGGTGTGGGCAGTGCTGTGCACCCACCCTGCTGCAGGATGCTTGATTTGCTTCATCTCCCTGCTTCTGTGCCCTCAGCAGGGGACGTTTCAGGCACAGAGGAGCTGAGCACTTCTTGTGTCCTCAACCCCTGTGGGAAGGAAGCGCTTGGTGGGTGGCCACAGCCCCAGCACTAGGCTTGGGCCTCAAAAGGCTGACGTGTCCCTCCCAGCTGAGGCATTGGCGTGGTCCTAGGGGGGTTTTGGGGTGAGCTGAGTGCTTTTAGGTCAATGTGTAAGTGTGGGTTTGTGCCACAGCAGTGGGTTTGAGTCCCCTGCCCGGTGCTGATGCAGCGTTTTGGGGCTGGGAGGGCTCTGGGTGGCCTCGTTAGTGCCTCTGGACGAGGTGCTGCTGGAGCCTAGCCCATTAATGCTTTGCCAGGCACACACAGCTTGGCAAACCTCAGTCCTAGGGTGAGGAGCTCTTCAAGCTCTGCAAAATGAGGAGTTTTCGTCACGAGCCACTGCTCGCCAGCCGAGCTGGGGCAGGACAGGCTGTGGCTGCAGACAGGGCTCCTCGCCCCGTGGTTTCGGGCACGTCAGAGGTCGGTTTCCCCATGAGTAACGCTCAGCCTGCTGTTTGTGTGGAGGTTGTGCTGTCATTACGGGAAATCTCGTCTAATTAGCAGTTTGTGCCTCGTGCTCCTGGCAGCCAGAAGCACGCCGAGTGCTGCTGGTGCTGCCTCGTCCTGGAGCAGCAGAGGAAGAGCTGAGGCCTGTGGGGTGCTGGAAGGTGGCTGCTTGGGCCGGCTGGAATCCTAATTAGGCTCCTGTCTAATTGTGGCTGTTTGTTAGCACCCTGAGAGGGGCTGTGACAGAGCCATGGCTGCCCAAGGAGATGGGTTATAGGCAGAAAGCTGGGCACAGGTGGGTTGGAGAGGCCCAAAACGCTGGGTGGAGAGGGCAGGGAGCACCTGGAGCTGGGAGGAACTGGGAGGAGCCCCTCGGAGGTCAGGCAGCAGCTGGCAGAACTTTTTGGGGGGCTCGGATGTGTTGGATAGATGCTGCCCTTCCCCGTGCAGCCAGGAGGTGTCCTTCCTCACCCACAGGAGGAGCTGGCTGTGCTGGGGCTGCTCTGTGGGCCCAGGAAGGCAGCAAGCAGGCAGCTTGCGCCTAACCTGCCCTCAGAAAGGGATCCTTGCTACCTGTGCTGGTTGGGGCCGTGCCCTGCACCCTTTCTGGGTTGTTCCACAGCCGTGCCCGGCTCCTGACTCCTTTCTCTGTGTCTGTTTGCAGAAGACGCCCTGCTGGAGGCTGCGAGGTTCAACAACGTGTCCGAAGTCAACAGGTGAGCAGCTGCTGGAGGTGTGCGACGAACGCTGCTGCACAGGGCAGGTGGGGAAGCTCTGGGGAAGTGCTGGGTTCCTCCTGGGTGCTGCTGTGACCCCGCACGAGGCTGTGTGAGGGCAGGAGCAGAGCCAGGAGGGGCTGTGAGCGGTTACAGGTGAGCTGCAGGGTGGCTCACGGGTCCCTGCAGCGCGGTGCAGCGTGGTGTGGACGTTCCCCTCTAGGCCAGGAGCAGCAGAGCCACGTTTTGGTGGGTCTGTCCCCAAACTAACAGCTCTCACAGGCTCCTAACAACAGCCTTCCAGTGCTCTTGTTGGTGCTGAACCAGGACAGGGAGACATTTTGGCAGCCTGCACGGGGTGGCAGCAGCCACTGCTGTGCTCCTGGCATCCCCTGTTTCTCTCAGGGCTCTCCCACCCGGTGCAGGACCCAGGAGCTCCGTGCTGGGTGTCCTCCTGTGGTGAGGAAGAGGAGGAGGAGGAAGAGGAGAGCCCTCCTGGCCCGCAGCCCGAGGATGCTCCGTGCACCCCTGGGGCTCGGCGGAAGCAGCCTGGCTCCTCCGGGGCCGGGGTCTGGTCTGGATCAAGGGCCGAGCAGGATATTGGTGCTCAGCTAATTGGCACATGTGTTCTGCTGCTGCTAATTGCAGGAAGCTGCTGCTCAGCGCTGCCGGGGTGATTTGTGAGCCTGCTGGGGCACAGCAGCACCAGGGCTGCGGCTCAACACGGCCCAGCTGTGCTGCGTGCTCACAGCTTTGGTTTTTGTGCCCTTTCCTTCTGATCCCTGCCCCGCAGCACCCTGTATTTGCCCACAGGCACGAGGCTGCAGTGGTCCCCCTGCCCCAAACAGCTTCAGCCTCAGCTTTATCACACACCTCAGCAGCCCAGAGCCTCTGCATGCTGCTGGCAGGCTCCTGGAGCTCGCAGAGGCACCAACAGCCGCGTGAGGGGCTCCTGCTCTGTCCCCCTGCAAGGAGCAGAGCCCCCGATCCGAGCTGAGCAGCGAGGGCTGCACCCAGGAGAGGGCAGCCCAGCCCCGTGAGCGCCCTGCTCCCTGCGCTGCCCCACAGAAGCAGCCCTGAAGGAGTTTTCTAACGCAGCGTGAGGCTCGTTTAAACACAAACCTCTCCCGGGGTGGCGGTGTGGCAGGGCTGAGGGGCTCGTGGCCTTGCTCGGGTGCTTGCTCTCCTCCTCTGCCACGAGGGGTTTGGCTTTGCTGGCTGCCTCGTTGGGCTTTTTGCAAGGTCCTTGCCCTGCTGGCTGCTCGGAGCTGGCCTCTTGGAGCAAAAGCTGTGCTATGCAGCAGGGAACCGCAGAGCTTTTAGGGTAACTCTGTTCCTTATCCCCAAAATGTTCTGATTTCTGTTGAAAGGAAGTGACTCTTCATTGCCCTAACCCAGAGGATGATCCGAATGATAACCAGGGAGTTTGGGGACCACCACAGGGGATCTGGTGGCAGCAAGCATAGCCAGGAGATGTTCCTAAAACAAACAGCAAAGCGTGGGTGGTGCGGGGACCAAGGCACGCGTGGCTGTGTCCTGAGGCTGTGTTGAAGGGAATTCCTCCTTATTCCAAGCAGAAGCTTTTTTCTTGTTCAAGGACAGGACTTTCAGACAGAAAGGACAGTTCTTTCAGACAGAGCTCACGCTGACACGTCGGTGTTGCTGTGGGAAGGATCCCATGGCCCAAGGTTGGATGCAGCTCGAGATCCACACGCTGTGTTTCCCTCTGCTCTCAGCTCCCAGCAGGTTTTCTCCTCTGCCCTCTCTAAATATGAGAAAACACTCTGATCCTTGCATTGAGGTCAAGGAACGCGTTAACTTTTGCGACCGTTCGCTTTGGAGCATGTGGCCAGCTCTTCCCTTCAACCCCTCGTGCTGGCGTGGAGGGCGAGGCTGCTCTTCTAGAAGGCTGCTCGGCTTTCTTCACGGGCACACGTGATGGAAGGAGCCGTGCAGTGCTGCAGCCTTCATGCCTCTTGCACCTTTTTGTAGCCAGGCTGCGAGGAGGAGCTGAGATAAGCTGGCAGGACCACGGTGGGTCCGTGGGGATGAGCCTAGTTGGAGGCAAAATGGGTTCTGCCCACGAACGCTGCTCTCATCTTTCAGCTCCCTCCAGTGCAGGGAGTGGGCTGGGAGTTCAGCAGCCCCCGCTGCTTGTTCCCCTCTGTGTTTGGGTGCGTTAAAGACATTTAGAAACTGCTTGTGAAATCCCTGACTGGGCTGTGGTGTTCCCTTTGCTTACCCTCACCGGGCCTGTCATTGTTAGAATATATCCGAGTTAACTGACATTTAAGTTTTTTAGGGTAAACAGACTTTTTTTTCCCTTTAAAAGTTCCCTTTAATCTCACAACGTGTGCACCGGGTCGTGCAGCTCCCTCCTCTTATTTTCAGGGAAGTTTTTGCCTGGTGATGAAGTCGGATTTGGCCTCGGGGGCTCGGAGCAGATAGGGCAGCTCGGATTTCTCCACGTCGGCCGTGAGATATCGTGGCAGGCTCGTGTGTGCTTCGCCCTGGGAGGCTGTGAGACCGAAATGTTGGAAGGGAGGAGGAGGAGGAAGAGGAGGGCAGCGGGGGTTAAGGAGGAAAGCTGGGCAACGAGCTGGTGCTGCTGCTCAGCCTGTCGGGGTTTGCAGGGCGTTTTGCCTTAACACTTCCTGTGCAGCATTATTTTCTCCTGCTTTTTGTAGCGTTCTGAGCCTAAAATCTCCCCGGACCTGTGTTTGTGTGCTGAGTCATAAGAGCAGGCTTTGCAGCCAGCGGCCCAGCAGCCGGCCGCAGGAGCCAGCAGCTCTCCTGCCTGTCTCCAGAACTGCTCAAACCCAGCGTGCCCAGACCCTGGCTGGGAGCAGACGCTGCTTCAGCTGGCACAGCCGCACGGACAGAGCCAGGGAGCACCCAGGGGGCGTGCAGGCTGCAAGCTTCAAACTGCAGGACAAAAATGAGCTTGTGCTGTGGCTCTGTTTTCTTCTGCTTTCCCCATCACGTGTGTTCTGCAGTGCTCTCACCCACCCTTCGTGTCCCTGGGCAGCCCCGCTCTCCTCCGAGGGTTCATTTTCCCTTCAGCAATCCAGATGTGTAAGAGCTTCCCTCTAATTTTTGGCATTTTTTCATAATGTTTCCTGGGTTCACATGTCTGCAAAACACTGCAGCCCATTACCAGCCTTGAGCTGGTCGTGCAGGGCTTGGGAAGCAGCCACGACCCATCTCAAGGAGGAACAGCAGCAAGATCAAAGGCTGTTGAGCGGCCTGCCTGGTGCTCCTCAACGGGCAGCTCCTTCCTCCACCCCTAGCAGGAGGATTATGCTTTCATGCTGGGAATGCTGCTGGTTTGGGATGGATTTTTTCCCCGTGCAAAGCCGAGGGCAGATCCCAGGAGGGCGAGCGCTTCGTAGGGTGTCAGCCACCCCTGCGGTTAAACGCTGACATATTGGGGACAGGCTGGGGGAAAAACGGAGCGGCCGAGGGCAACAGAAGCTATTGTTGTGGAAAAGTTCAAGTTTCCAGCTTCCTCTTCCTCCACCTGTCGGGAGGGCGAGCTGGGCCCGCTCCCGGCGCTGAGCACAAACTCAAACATGCCCTCTGGGCTCGGCTGGGAGCGCGGTGTCAGCGAGTTAGTCACCCAGAACCCCGGCAGCGGGGTGAATAGGAGGCACATCTGTCTGGGGGCAGCGGGGGGAGAGGGCACGGCGCCGCGCGGCGGCCGGCTCGGGCTCGGGTTCTTTCTGTGCCGGGCGGAGGGATCAAAGTGCTGGAGCTTTGCGAGCTGCTGTCTCGAGGCAAAATAGCCCGGGCGCACAAAGCAGCGCGGGGCGCTCTCTCCCGAGGCTCCTCCGAAAAATTCCAGAGCACCTGGTGATGTTCTGCTGGATCCTCTGCTCCCTCCTCTTATTTTCAGGGAAATCTTACAGCCTGCGCATCGCCCCTTGGAGCTGGGGCTCCACGGGCAGAGGAGATGCTGCCAGACTCCAACCTGGATCTAAAAGTGTTAGAAATCCATCAGGAAAATCTGCTTGCGCAGAACGCTGGAGAAGCAGCCGAGCTTTCTGCCCTAAAATCGTGAGGTTTTTCTCTAATCCGTAAAATTCACACACTCCAACAAACAACAAACACAAAAAGCCCCTTGCCCTGCACCAGAGCCCTGTTTTCCTCCCACCCTGTGTGGCTCTGGGTCTGTGGGGTACCTGCTGCTTGTAGGAACACCACAAACGGTGCTAACAGGGCCACGCACGCACGGGAAACTGCTTAGTAGGTAAGAGTGAGTGTCCTGGATCTTATTTGGTTAAAATGTGGATAAACATCCTAAACATTGATCGGAGGAGTTTATTTAATTAAAAAAAATACTCCTGCTGGTAAATACATTTGGCTGTCTAGGAGCTGAGCAGTGGTCGTCGCTTTATCGATTGTCATATCATTAAATCAGGCGGGGAAAAAATTAATGATAGGCTCGAAGACCCTGAACATAAAGTTCAGTTGTCTAGAAAATCTGTTAAGTTGCTGAGCATCTTGCAGCGACTTAAAAAAAAAACAACAAAAAAACAACAAAAATGGGGCTCCTAAATGAAATGTCAATGCGTGTTCTGCCAGATGAGCCGATGCTGGTAATGCTCTGCGCTCCGCTCGGTCGTGTGGCGTTCCAGATGCTGGCGATTCTCTGGATTCCTGAATGGAAAACTACCCGCTTCACCCTCATGTCTGAGCTCCCAGCCCCTGATCAAATCCTGCAGCAGAGCCCCCAGCGTCCTTCCTGGTGGGTGCACCGCGTTGTAACAGCTTTGGCTGCTGCACCAAGAGCTGATTTAATGCTTTTGTCATCTGGGAGTGCAGATAATTCATCGTTCAGGACACGCTTCCAGAGAACCTGCAGAGAAAGGAAGCCTCCCAGGGAGCTAACAAGTAGTTTTTAGCATCTCCAGAGCACTTTGAGGTTGCTGTCCTGCCCTCTGTCCCCTCAGAGACACACAGTGACCTGTTCAGCTGCAGTTCACCGTCAGGAGGGAGCAACCATCAACCTGCCCTCTGTTTTGGGGGTAAAACCGAGCTTTTGCAGCAGCAACCCTGCAGGTGGGGGACGTTCTGCTTGGGGCTCTGTTCCTCCATCATGCCAACACCATGGTGAGTGCAAGGGGACGCCGTCAGGCTGTGCACTGATATTTGCAGCCCCAAAGACACCCAGAGGAGGCTGCGAGGTGTCGGCTGAGCTGCTGAGCCTGCTGGGCTGTACCTGCCGTGCCTCCGGGGCTTTCCTGCCTGCCTTCCTCCTCCTCTCCTGGCCTCCCGCCAGGTTCTCTCCGTGGCATTAATATTTTACTTCCTTTTGCTTGCTGGGTTTTACCTGGAGGCCTTCGTACAGCTCAGGGAACAGCATGATGGCAAGAAGGGAAATTATGAAACTGCTGGGACCTGTGGTGGCTGCAGGGTCTGTGTCCACCTCGTTTATCCAACACCGTGGGTGCGTGGCTGCACGTCCTGCCTCGTCCTGGGCACGTCCTGGCTGCGTTATGGGGTCGGAAAGCTGCTCACAAGGTTTTGTCTGAAGCTGCCTGGGGCTGGGGACGTGCACGCGTGCGCAGCGTGGATCCCGTGAGGGCTCTGGGTGCGACCTGGTGCCTTTGCTGCCGCAGGGTATCGGGTGTCAACCTGTGCGGAACAAGAGGCTGTTGTTTACCTGGCACACAGCTCTTTGTCCTTATGCTGTAACCCTGGCGAAGGCAGCGTAAGCCTTCTGTTGGTGCTGTGGATCATTTACAGGGATCGTGGCCTTCGGAGCCCTACTCAGGAACCACAACCAAAGGCTGCCGCTTGCTGGTTCATTTTTTGAGCTGTCGCAGTGCTAACCCTGCAGATTTCCCCGGTGACACCTCTCCTCCCTGGGCTCAGGGCCTCTCACAGGCTCTAGACTTGTGGGATCCCTGTGGGATCTCGGTTCTGGAACCTGATGAGCAGCTCAGAGTGCTTGGTAGCTCTCCTGGCAAAAAGGGCTGCTGCAAATCACCCTCTGGTACTACCCGCTGAAGTGCACAGCCTCCTGATGTCCTCTGCCTGTTGCCTCCCGTGCTCTCGTGCTCCCAGTCTCATTCTGACAGGGTACAAAGGTGCGGCTGGAGGGGAGCAAAGAGGACCTCATTTTAGGAATCTGATTTGGGTAAGAGTTCTCTGGTGCCTCACACCAGCAGGGAGCCCAGCATTCAGCTATGCTCAACCACAAGCCAGAGCTTAGGCACTGGTCCTGCTGCCTGGGGTAGATGTAGGGTTGGGGAGTGGGTTTGTTCCAGGGATAAGTTTTTAGTGAAACCACTGCGAGGGATTTTGGGCAGGTGGAGGAAGGCTCACACAGCAGGCTGAGGGCAGTTAATTTGCAGAGGGTACCCAGATTCAGGCACGTACCCTGTGTGAGCTCTCCAAGAAGTGATCTGGCGTTCAGCACACAGTTGTGTTATCTGCAGCTCTGGAGGCAGTGTAAGTACTTAGCACCAGTCTGGTGCCTGCACGGCTGCAACTTGGCTCATTTTCACTTCTCACAACCCCTGGGTTTGGTGGTTGCTCGTCCCTGCTGTCCGAGGGATGTGCTGTGCAGTGACGCACACCAGGACGATGGCACAGCCTCCGTTTGGGGAAGGGAAGGAGGACGAGCTGTAGCCCTCCCAGCTTTCTGAACCCCCCCTGGACGTTAATTCCTGGGGCTGTCCTGTGGGGTGGGAATGGGATTGTGGTGCTGCACCCAAACGTGTAGGGTTCGGATCTTGTCTCACCTCATTTATCTCGGGCACTCCACAAGTTGTGCCTGAGGTCTGAACTTCCCTCCTGCCTTGTGGCAGCAGAGGCAATGACACTTTCAGAGGCTCCTTTCGTGCCACCTGGGCTTTGCACTTGTAGGATGAGCTGCGTTAGCCTCTGCAGGGCTCTGTCCCTTGCCTTTAGCTGCGGGGGCTAAGAATGATGGATTGCAGGGTCAGAAGATGGAGAAAGGGCAGCGAGGCCGGAGAGCCTGGAGCCGGGCTCTGCTCAGGGGTGCCCAGGGCCAGGAGCAGAGGCCCCGGGCCCAGCCTGGAGCCCGGGAGGTGTCCTCTGGGCCCCAGGCAGCACTGCTGTGCTGGGCGGGTGCCCAGAGAGGGGCTGGGGGCTCCTCCGCGGGGGCTCCAGCAGCTGCTGGGACCTGGGGCGAGCGGCTCCGCGGGGCCCTGCTGGGGCAGGGGGCGAGTGGCAGCACCCAGGGGTGCCCCCAGCATCAGCCAGGTTTGTCAGGCTATGATTTGATCCCTCTTAGTTTTTGAGTTTGTTCCGTTTGGTCTCTTGTTGTGCATGAGAAGTGCAAACTATCCGCTGCTGGCACGTGTTTTGGAGATCTCCTGAGCTGCTTCTGAAATCCTCGTGGCTGCAAGGCTGGCTGAAGGTTCCGACCTGCCATCAGGTTGTAGCTTAAGCAGCTTCGCTTAAGACACTCCGTGTCTTGAGCTTGAGACACTCGGTGCTGTGCCGTTAGCTGCAGTGTGCTCGTTGTGTCTCTGCACCTCCTTCCTCACCCTGTCTCTCTCCTCTCTCCTGCCCAGGTTGTTGCTGGAAGGCACGGACGTCAACGCCAGGCACCGGCTGGGCTGGACTGCTCTGATGGTGGCAGCTATCAACAGAAATTCCAGGTGAGTTTGTCCCAGCGCTCACCATCACCCAGGGGTAAGCTGCTGCTAGAGCTGCCTCCCTGCTCGATAAAACCACGCTGAGCTCCGCAAGGGTTCTGTAAATTTTGGGCGTTTTGGGGCGTGTTGAGCAGCGGGACCCGAGGGGGCTTTTTGCTCCTCATCACCCTGTTTGTGGCGTGGCAGATGGAGCTCTGCAGCCTGAGAGGTGCTGAGCTGACGGTGCCATTCCACAGCAGCAGGCTGATTTTGGCACCTGATGAGGCTCGGGGTGTTATCGGCAGGTCATTTAACGCCAGGGGCTCAAATAGCTCCCGTCAGAGCAGCCGCGTCCCTCCTGGCTTGCGGGGCCTTTGCCGGGTCTTTCATGCTAGGCCTTTATGAAGCAAAAAGGCCCAACGCCGTGCCCTCCCTCCTGAGTTCCCATGATGATCGCTGTGGCTTCTTGTAACCTTTTAAAGGCACTCCTAAATATATTCAGTCTACAACTAAATTCAATTAGTTTTTTTTTTTTTATTTAAAGAAAAAAAAAAAAGAGAAAGAGAAATCCAATTTTCGAAAACGTGGGACAGACGGGAGAATGAGCTTTGATGTTACAACCTCTCGGGGATGCTTTACTTAGTCACAAGTTCATAAGCAAAAAAGCCTAATGACTTGGGAAAACACAGGATTAAAGCGGGGCACAAAGGCCGAATATCCGCTCTCGGGCGACACGATTCGGATCCGTGTGCCGAGTTCGTGTGTGGTGCAAACTTTGATGTGTGCTATGACAAGCTGGAAGTCGTGACCTCCTCGGGGAGCTCCTTAAGACGGGCACAGAGGCGGGGGACGGGGACTGTTTGTTTAACTTTGATGTCCGAGCAGCAACGGGCCCCGTTGTTTGCCCGGCCGCGGAGGGCCGCGCTTCGGAGCCTCCCACCTCTGCCGCAGGACAATGGTCAGCAATGGAGTGTGACGGCTGTTGACCATTCCAAGTGAGCGGTGGACCAGAACAGGGCTTCCCGAGTTGCAAAGGCTCAGAGGAGACGGGGAGAAAGGCCGTTCACGGTACAGTAATTGCCTAAAATCAGGTAGAAATGCTAATGGAAACGTCGAGGCAGGGCCGGGCGCGCGGCACCCAGGCGGGTCCCTCGCTGCAGGCACAGCACCAGCAGGGCGTCGTGCTGGGGAGCTGGCAGGAAGGCAGCGCTGGCAATGGTGCCTGTATTGTGTTTATTTTCCCCACATTTTGGACGAACATTGACTTGAATTGAAAATTAGGAGTCCTGGAGTATCTGAAGCCTGGTAGGACGTGTCTCTGACAATATACCAGAAGAGTAATTAGGCACTTCACAGAGATAAACATTGGTGCCAGCCCGCCAAGCTTACTCCTGGTGTAACAGCTCTGTTGCTACCACTGGGGCGATGCCAGACGTATTTTTGGGCCGGGTGTGGGAGCGGGGAGAGCCGGGCGTGGGGAGCTGCTGGCTTTGACTCAACGGTGTAGGTTTGCCCGCAGAATTGTACACACTTGGCTTTTCCCTTCCAAACGCAGCGCCTGCTGCTGCTCGGGATCTCTCACAGTCCCTTTATACACTTTGGGGACTGGGCTGAATGCAGCTCACTGCACTCTGCAGGAGAATGCAGGATTTTTGGCTCTGCCCAGCCACAGCAGCTGCATTACAAATTGTTAGGATTTAGGTTCTCAGCTCCTCAGTCAGCCTCTGGGGGCTGAGCTGGGTCTCTGGCTCTCACGTCAGAGGAGAGGTCAGTGGTGGCTCGGAGGTGGCCCAGATGCAGCCGCTGAGCCAGGGTCTGCACCTTTAGCTTGGGAGAAGCACAAGGTCATTCAATTTTGCTTAAATGCGCTCTGCCAGCACTTCTTTTTTTAATGTTTTCGCTACCTGAGCGAGTCACCCAGCGTGGCTGCAGGGGGCCGTGGCGCTGGTAGCTGAAATGAGTGTTTTTGTGTTAGAACCACTAAGAGAAAGGAAGCCTTCAGCCCCAAATTGCTGTCTCTTCCAAGTCGTTTTTCAAAGTGGAACTATGGCTTGGAGTCTCTGCTGTGCTGCTGGAGATTTCTGTGACCTGTCCTTTAGCTTTGTAATGTTTCCCAATTTTCGCAGCCCTCACTCTTCCAATTAGACAGCTACAGTCCATATGTTTAATCGAATTTCAGAGGCTGCATTGATGATTCCTGTCAGCTGCCCTCAGCTACAAGATGAAATCCCAGGTGCCAGCAGGGATCTTTGGGGTCTGTCTTTCCTTTTTTTCAACAAAACACTGATCGTTCTCCTCCTCTTGAAAATTTCCTGTGTCCGAAACATCCCGAGGCACTGAGCAGCGATCCTGGTGTGTTCCCACTTGAGGTTTGCGTTTCTACTGATCGGTTTTGAGGGTGTGTAGCTGGGAAGGAGCAGAGTGCTGGCTCCTAGCCCCAGCACCGGGCACTTTGCTCTGCTGCCTGGGGCAGGGCAGGGGCTGTGCGTGGACTTGGGTCAGCCTCAGCAGCACTTTTTGTAGAAAACGTGGCCATTTCTTCGAGAAGAACAGGTTGTGTGATCTGCAGGAGAGCTACCACGACGTCTGGGATCCACTCGGTCTCTGCTGGGTGGCTCGGGGGAGTTATTTCTCTTCTCCTGGCCTTTAAATGCTGTGCGTGTCTTTGTGTGCCGCTGGGGCTCTCTCTTGCACTGCAGATTCCCAGGGCCACCGCGCGCGGTGCCAGGCAGAGTTCAAGCCCCCAGCCATTGCTGAGATGCCAATTACAGAAATGAAGGGAGGCTGCTAATTGCTGCAGCGTGGCGCCTGATTTTGCTGTTGGGTGATGTAAATTTAGCTGGGATAATCTAGATGATGTAAAACAACGTAGATGATATAAAAGCGTTGTAGAATGAGTTGTGTTCCTTTTTTTGTTCTCCTAATAAGCGCGTTTCCTTCTTCCAGACCTTTCCTGAGGCAGGGATAGATCAACTTCGTGGTTACTCTTTCTAAGTGAGTGGGGGTCCTGCTCCAAACCCCTCGGCTCTTGGTGAGACAGCTTGTAACCGGGTTGAGATAGAGACAGATCAGCTGTCAGGACGTTTACACAGGCAAAGAAGGGTTTCTGCTCCAATTCCTGTTGCTGGGGGAGCTTTAGCATAGCTAAGGATGCACTGGTGCTGGTTTTAGTCCAAACATAAGGACGGGTAAGTGTCAGCTCACGCATTCTGCAGGGTCTGACAGCCCTGAGCCCTGAGGAGTAACCCAGGTGGGTGGCTGTGCACACACACACACACACACCCCTTAATTTTCGTGTACATTTTCCTTTTGGAGTGGCTCCTGGCCTGTTTCCTCTTCAGTATCTGTGCGAGCCCGTTCTTCCGAACCTCAAGCCCTGTTTTAAAATGGTTTCTTAATTCTCCTTGAAAGACGTCCGTGTTAAAAGGGAGGATTTATGGCCGATGTGAAAAACGCTGCTAGGGGCCTTCTTCCCTTGGCCGTACCTGCTAGCTTTGCACATCTACCATATTTATAGTAATTAAGCTTTAATTAAACGCTTGCTGCGAGCTTTGTGGGTTTTGTGCCTTCGTTAAAATCAGCTCTCATGAATAAAACCAAACAAAGCAGCAAGTACCTCAGCAGGCCAGTGGTCCAGGCCCTGCACGGCGAGGGGACGGGTTTCTCTGCAGCAGTGCCCACGTTTTACAGCACGGAGAGAGAACAGAAAACGACTTTTGCTGCGGCTGGCTCTGTCCCAGCAAGGTCTCTGCCCCAGGGGGTGTTTGCTGGGACCAGCTGCAGCTCTGGGTGGGACTGAGGCAGAGCTGCCTGCTTTGGGGGAGGCTGGGTGTGTTTCCTCAGGGTAAGCACACAAGTCCTCATCTTTCCAGCTTCCCCTTTTCCTCTTTGCTAATATAACTGCAGGGCTTCTGTCCATCTTCCTGCGCCCTTTCTCACATCCCCGTCTTGTTTTACACTGAAAGGAGCCCTTCAGTCTTGCACTAAGTGCCTCCAGCAGCTGTGCAGAGATCTTATCAAGATGCCCCCAGTGAGTGCAGGGAAAGCAGGAGGAGGGACAGGAACAGAGCCCAGCTCCACCTAAAGAGCAGTTTCTTTAGTTAAACAGATGTTTTCTGTCGGAAGCTCGTCCCCAGCTCCCTTTCCCATGGGTGTTGTTCAGTCCAGACCCCTTTGTGCTCTCAGAAAGCAGCAAGGGCCAGCCTCGGAGCTCTGTGCTGCTGAATCATTCCTTCCCCGTGCTCTGCAGTGCGTCTTGCTTCTTCATCCAGTTCAGTGTGAGCTCCTGCCTTCGCCTCCCAGCTGTACATCTTCCTGTTTGATCAGGGGCTTTACCCTCTGGTTCCTCCCTTTGCTGTTCCAACATCCTCTCCTTTTCTCTATTTCCCTTCTGCAGCTTTGGCTTCTTCCCCCCCCTTTTCTCCTTATGATTCCATCTGCAGGTCTGGATCTTTTTCCTTCTCAACACCTTCCTGCCAAAGACGAGTGACTCCTCTGGGCCTCAGCAATCCTTTTCCTTCCCCATCTTTCTCTGTAGACAACAGAGCTGTGGGGCAGAGGCTCTACAAGGAACCAGACCCAGCAGTGCCTGGCCCCTTCCCTCCTCCACCTCTCCGCACAGAGAGGAGCTGGGGAGAGGCTCCCACTCTGTGCTGCTGTGGCTCATCAAGGCTGGGACGTGTGCCTCTTCCACACGTACCTGGGCTGGGTAGAAGGTGCTGTGCAGATGTTTTATTTTGGTAATAACAGCACATCGTGCATGGCAATATTCTGGTGGGTGCGTTCCAAGGCTTGCAGCGAGGGCTGACCGATCGGAGCTGCTCCCTGTCTATAGGCACTGACGTGATGAACTGCTGCAGCCTTGTCACCTATATTAGCTACATACATCTGTTCTCTGGGATTTTTTTCACTCCTTTCACTTCAGGCGACTGTTTCAGAGCTGTCTGCAGCAGAGCTGGCAGGATACCTGGATGCCTTCAGAAGCGCACGTGTCGGCTGTCAAGGAGCTGAGGAGTGACACGAGGTTTTCTGCTGAGGATGCTGCATTTTGGGGGCTTGCTCCTGTAAACTGAGGCATTGTGGTGGAGCGATGGGGTCTTCTTTGTCTGGGGCTCCCACCAGAGCTCGGGGCAGCCGGATATCAAAACACATCAAGGTTTTTGCATTGTGCTGCTAACTCACGGTCATGGGGATCACCGGGCTTCGTGCTTCACCAACCCCAGCTGCCGGCGGCTCGGTCCGGGCGCTGCGCCTCTCCTGACGCAGCCCCAGCCACGTCCAGCCACCTCGTCATTGATTTCTCCCCCCCCCTCCCTGCATTGTATGGATGTATTTATTTATTTAACAATATGTTGGGCCGGCCATTAAAAGCAGAAAGCACTTTCTCCGATCGATCGAGCTGCCCAGCGAACTTCAGCTCAGCGCTGCCCTCTGAGTCATCAGCAGGGTCAGCGCGGATTTGTATTCACGCTGATGAATAGGCCCTGCCTCTAATCAAATGAAAACTTGATCAGCAAATTAAAACTCGGCTCGTTGAGGCTGTTGAGCACAGGTGAGTTATGGAGGGGCCTAGGCCAGCTCCAGGCTGTGTCCCTGTCTGGGTAGCTGGTGAAGAGAGTTTTCTGCCCCAAAACCTGTGCCAAGAGAAATGAAACGGGAGGAATATTGACCAGGGACTCCTCCAGTGAGCACCCACCCCTTTATTAATACCCAGTAACTGAGCTACAGAGGAGAGAGCTGCCTTGATGCCTTCCATAGCATTTTGACCAGAGCCTCACAGAGCTTCAGAGAGCTTCCGTAATTAAGCCCTGGAGCTGCCTTTTGACCTGGGAAGCATCTACACTTCTCCCCCCTGGAAAACTGGGATTTTTAACCGGATTTAAGTGGGATTTTTAACCAGAGACTAGATTGCTGGACCATGCTTTGTTAGTGCCATCTGATTTCCGTAAGTCCTTTGCTTATTCCAATCCACACGCTTTCCGCCGATGAGTGCGGTCGCTCTGCATTTTGATTCCGCTGTTACCTTTCCTAAAGGCTAATTTGCTTGAATGTCCCATTACCTGCAAATTGGATGGGTACGATCAATAGTTGTGATTCCAGGAACGGCTGGCTGCTGCAGAAGTGCCCGGAGGGGACGACACGTCCCAAAAGCAGGAGGTTAGATTGAAAGATGGTTGGACAGGGAGGCTGGATGTACAGCACGGTGTTATCGGGCCAGCGAGTCCCTTTCCCTTCCTGTTTACAGGATCCCAGAGCCTGAAAAAAAAGGAGCTGCCATCAGGGGCCGGGGTTTTGGAACACCAAATTTTGCCAGTAAGAGATCCTATCAGTGCTTATTAAACTCGAGCCTCCCAGCAGTCTTAAGAGCTAAGGAAATGTTCCTTATCTCTGCTTTATAGATGGGGGGAAATGGTGAAAAGGGTCATTAACGGAGAGAGCCGGGCAGTGCAGACACCGTAACCTCCTGCCTGCACATTCAGGCTGCCTGGCAGCTGGCACACGTGGTACTCTGCTAAACTTCTGCTGAAAGGTTGTTGTCCAGGGGGCAATGCTGAAGGTGTACGCTCCGAATGGAGAGGAAAGGGCTTCCTGAGAGTCACCAGAAGCACATGGAGGTGATAGCTGATGAAGTGCCTGGGAAGAACTATTCATCTCGAGGTAGGCACTAAGAACAGGACAGGAAGACAGATGAAGCTACCAAGGAAATTACAAGGCATTGTGTGTTTTCCTCTGACTCATTTGGTACCCGTTTCTCACCCCTGGGCTGCGAGGTTGTGGATTAAAGCCCTGCACTGGGACTTGGGATCGTTTCTCTTCAAATGAAGAAGAGGCAGCGACCTTAAAACACATCATAGCCTGTCAGCTAAAATGGGAGTGGAGGGATCTCTTTGGTGGTGACAGCCGTGAGGCCTGGGTCCGAGGAGAGAGGTGTGTCCGTATCAGAACCTGTGCTGTGAAGGACTTGAAGGATCAGAGCGGCTTTCTGCAGCTGAAGCTCCCCCAGAGGTGCTGTGCTGGATGCGAGGGCTTCCCAGTAAGTCAGCTGCTGGGGCAGAGCAATCCAAGGCTTTACCGGAGGCAGATTGCACTCACGATGGCGTGCTGCTCGGCAGCTGGGCTCCCACCTGAGTCCTCTGCTCCCATTGCACCTAGGGCCACTCACTATTTAGTTGTCCATCCCTAGGTCCTCAACGAAGAAACCACGGGGGAACAGGGCAGTGCCTGCCCCACAGTTTTCCATCCTGTACCTCCTGCTTCCCACAGGGATTGCATCTTCAAGATCTCCGATGCACTTCTCTCGCAGCACTTACTGGGCTGAGCAGCACCGGTACTGGAGTTGCAGGATGTCTCCAGAGCAATCCAGCACTGGATCTGTGCACAGATCAGTGAGCTCCTCCAGGTAGAAGCCCTGTCTGTGGCATCGTCATTTCTCCTGCTTTGGAGCTGTGGACAAATGGCATGCCCCGTACCCAGCATCACCAGCCTGGCACCAAGAACAGGATCAAGGATCTCTGAGCACCTACAGAGTGAGCAGAGGTGGAAGAGCCTGGGCAGCTGTGTGTGCTGAAAAGCCCTTGCGAGAGGAGCTGAAGGACTTGTAGGATAAGTTTTGTTCCCCCTGCCTTCCTGATGCTCCTAAGGTGGTCCTGAAGGACCTACAGGCTTGTCATGTGTGTGGAGAGAGCTCTCCTAGGTAGTGTCCTCACTGGGGTGGCCTTTGGGAGCACAGTAGCAGAGACATGGCTTTTGTGAACACGGGGTGGGAGATGTGTTGTTGAAATTGTTCTGAGAGGACTGAGGATGAGACAAAAAGGTTCTGTCTAGCTGGGATTATGCTGAAGAGAGTCGTCTCACACAGTGATGCTTGCACCAAGAGCAAAACTGCTGAATGAACGGGAAGAGAAGTCTGTCTGGAGAGATCCAGGTGGCAGAGGACAAGCACACCTCACACACAAGCACATCTCTTACCCAAGGCTTCCTGTCCTCTGCTGCTGATACCCAAAAATAGGGGAGATGACCTCCCCTCAGTGCCAGCAGATACCTGCCGGTCGGGTGTCTAACCTGATCATGGGCACACAATTCAAAGTATTTGAGAAAATCTTCATGGGGCTGGGCGAGCAGCTCCGCGGGGCCCTGCTGGGCTGCGCTGAACAATCACCGTTTGAAGATCAAGATGTGCATCTCAGCCGAAATATTTTAGAAGTAAGGACGTTGCTGATGTATGAATACAAAGGAACTCGGGGTGATCCCAGAGGTATGTGCCAGGAGGGTCTCCTGGCTTCCAGCGTGCCGCTTTATTCCCCAGAAGTAACTTTGTGCACGGTGAGGAGCGTCGCAGTGCCTCTGTTCAGAGAATAACCACCTTTTATTCCGCTAATGCATTTATGGGGTAGACAGGAGAGAAGCTTAAGTTAAATTGTAAATGTGAGCTGACAAGAGGCAGCCTGCAGATCCCTGTCAGTCAGGCTGCGCTGCGCGGGGCACAGAGCCGCTGTCAGCCCCTGAGCCATGGCACCGCTGATGGATGCTCGCTAACGCCGCGCTGTCTAGTTGTCATGGCAAGCTTGAACCCTGGAAAAAAAAAATAAATTAAAAATTAACTGGCTTCAAGCTGCTTTCAGAGGTGGTGGGAAATCTAATTTTTGCCTGATGATTCTGGGTTCGGAAGCAGACACGGAGGACTTCCACACCAAGCTCCCCGGCCTGTGTGTCTCAGAATCCCAAAATCCCAGAACCATCCGGGTGGGAAGAGCCCTCCAAGATCACCCAGCCCAACCTCTGACCTAACCCTAACCAGTCCTCCCCTAACCCAGATCACTGAGCTCTACCCCTAAACGTCTTTTAAAGATCTCCAGGGATGGGGACTGAACCCTGGGCAGCCCACCCCAATGCCCAACAACCCTTTTGGTGAAGAAGTTCTTCCTAATATCCACCCTAAAGTGTCATGCTGATCTGTCGTAGCGTGTTGGTAACCTTCCAGGTCTGGGGACCCAAAACCTCAGCTCCAGCACCGGGCAGTGGAGTAGGGGATGTGCTGCCTGTGTTGCTGTGCTGCCCTAGGAGGATCTGCCTCTCCACCAGGCACTGCAGGGTGCAGTAATTGGGAGTTCTCTACAAATTCAGAGATGAAATCTCTTTCAGAAGTCCTGGCTGGGTTGCAGATGATCAGGCTGTCTTCAGCAGTGATCTCGTACAAATCGTCTGGTGCTCAGAGGGTTGACTGAACCTCATGCAAGAGTTGAATGCTTTTCTTCCAGAACCCTGTATATGTAATGCAGTTGAAATCTGTTTTTGAGTTCTGAGTTTGGTGCTTCCTCTTGGGAGGGCGGAAGAAAGCAAGGACTGGCTGTGTGTGACGTGCAGCGTGGGTGCAAGGGCTGCCTGCTTAAGGGTGGCTTCCATCAGCTCCCCAGGTGTAGTGGGACTGCTAAAATGAGAGCTATGAACTGTAGAGCAGAGACCTTGGGTGTGACTAGGAGCCTTCCAGACCCTTACCTTGTCGTGCTTCATACCGAAATGCTATATGCTTGTATTGTAGGATGGCACCTTTAGTAATGGAGCCCTTTCTGAGCCCTTTCTCAGGGCCTGATGGATTCTGATCACTCATTCTGATCACTCACTGTGCCTCTTCCTTCCTTTTCCTGTGATTTGTACCAGCATGGTGAAGATCCTGCTCGCAGCTAACGCAGACCCAAACCTCGGAGATGAATTCAGCAGCGTGTACGAGACTGCCAAGGAAAAAGGCCTCCATTCTTTAGAAGGTAATACTGTTCCTGTTCAGCTACCTGTGTTTGCCTTTGAGGTCCCAAAATTTCAGTTTCGGTCTTTGAAATGGAAATTTGACCTCTTTATTTTCCCAGCTTCTATTTAAATGCAGAGTTACTGGTGCTGTGTGTGGGTGTATGTCTGCAGGTGAGAGAAAACAGTATGTAGCTGCTCACGAAAAGCAATTCCTCGGTGTCCTAGGGATAACTTTTTTATGTACAGCCAGAACACGGTACGAGGCTGTAGGTAGGAGCACCATCCCACTGCCCGGGGAAGGGCAGCGTATTAGGCTTCTGTCTACAAACAGACATAAAATGAAGGAAGACTTGTCCAACTGACAGAAAGCTGAATGGTGCTGACCTGCTTGCAAGTACTCTGGCTGGTTTTTGGCCAGGTGTTAGTGCTGGCTTTCCTCCCTTGCCTTTACTCATCCCTTTAGTCTTCAGACTAAACCAAGGACTTTTTCCCTGCTCTTATTTGATCTCGTTACGATTTTTCCTGGCCCACGTCTCAAGTTCCAGTCTCACCCTGATGTTATGCCCCATTCCTGGGGAGCTGAGGCAGGCTGGACCCCGCTAACATGCCACCAGCTGCTACCCTCCTGGTTCTGGAGGCATTTTCCCCACCCAAAAGCTGAGCTGACCCACCGTGAGCCCTGGGTTGGCAAACATGGCACATGAATCCTCACGTGCAGCATCTCCAGGTCTCTTCTGGCCACCTTGCCAGAGCTCAGCCAGCGCTGGGACTCCTCAGGGCCTGCAGTCTCCAGCCTGACTGCATTGTGTGCTTCACCTTTTGCCTCAAAAGGAAACCTTCTCCTGATCACTGTCAGGAGGAAATTTGGGGAAGCCACCCCCTCGGTTCTCCAGGGCGTGTGTTTGCCCCGTGTAGTTTGCAGAGCCAAAATCGCACGGTGACAGCATCCGTCCATCCCTCTGAGCTTTTTGCCTCGCTGCTAAGAGCTGAAAGCTCTCAGAAAAGTCTAATGAAGGCGTAATATTTGAATATTTGAACCCTTCATAAAACCCGGGTTGAGTTAAGAAGATGAATCAGCGAGGGGACAGTTTTGACAGGGCGTTATTTTATTTTTAAAAGCTCTCCGCTCTCATCCCTCACCGTAACCCACCCGTGCAATAGACCTGCTCCTTGATGGAAGGGAGGACACACATCTATCAGATTGCTGTAGCAGTGAATGCAAAATGTATGAAACAACATTAAAAAATGAACAATGGAATGCCAATACATAATGCATGTACACAGACTTTATTTAAGACAAAGTATATCAGCCAATAAAGTTAATTGTTTTTGTCTGCATTCATCCCTCTCTAATGTTATATATTTTTGGGGTGAAGAAAAGATAAGGCCACTCAGTAAGAAGTTGCATTAATTCTTTGCTTGACATGTTTTATTAAAAAGAATAAATTCTGTTGCATTTTAAAAAAGAGAGGGAGAGAGAGAGAAACTGCCTTTGTTTTTTATATTTTTCTTTTACCCATTTACATATTTCGTGTATAAATATTTTTTCATAAAAACATCCAAATCGAGAGGGTATGCTCCGCAAACACTGCACAAAATATATTACAGACATTTATATGGATGGCAGGAAGGGAGACAGAGGGCTGAAAATTTCCAGGCACCCAGTGATTGATGGTCGACGAGGCTTCCCCTGACGCTTTATTGAGTTTCCGATGATTATCTCTCTCTGAGACATTTTTTACAGATGACGGCCGAGCTGTCACAACGGACCATGGGGGAAAAAAACCAACAATAATAACACTTTAATCTCTTTACTGCACTGCTCCCTAGTATCTCAGATTCATCTTCCCTGACGCACGCAGTTCATTATCCTGCTCCTCCCTGGGTAGGAAATGACGACAAATAAATAAATATACATACTCGCCCGGTCCGCTCGGAGAAAAGACCCAGGAAAGGAAAGGAGCCAGGGCATTAATTGATCTTCCTGGAGGTACTGCGGTTCATTAGCGGGGATGCTGGGCTAGAGCAGCAGCAGCAGGCATTCATTGCGGTGCTTTCTGTACCAAACTTAGCAAATCTTCTGGCAGCCTGTCAGGAGTTCTTCGCAGGGAGCGTGGAGGCTGCAGGACATCCACGGGCTGTGTCTGTTTGCCTGGCTGGTACAGAGCAGTAGTGCCCAGAGCACCCAAACTCCCTGAATGTGGGATTCCTCGGGTTTAGTTGTCAAAGCCCACAGCCCTGAGCTGCTCGTGGGAGATGGATCTTCACTCCCGAGGCATGGGGATGGCATTCGCTGTGGGTTCTTGATTGTACCGAGGAATATTTGAGCTCTTTGGTGGTTTTACCTCTCCATCCTGGCCAGGCTCAAGATGAGGCTTCTGTCTGCTTTGCTGAACGCTCTCGGGAGTGACGTGAAGGTGCCTCTGAGCCTAGAAGTCCCCTTCTGCTAATCAGCAGGCTGGCGTTGGCGTTTCCTTCAGTCCCTAAAACGAGATGCAGATGCGTGGTCTGCACCCAGGGACGGGCTGGACCCGCACGTAGCCAGAAGTGATGCGCTTGCAGGGGCCCTCTGCCGCTCTGCTGGCCTCTGCCACTGTACCTCGGCTTGATTTAACATATTTCCCCAGTCCTCCAACTTCCCAGTCCCGAATTCTGCTTTGCTGTTGCTCTGGTGTGAAGGAATTAGCGTGTCAGTGTGCCTGTCTCACCCCCCAGCCCTTACCCTGCCCTTGGAGAGCCTCGTCCCCGTTCTCTCAGCCTGCCAGCACAAATGGTTGGTCTTTCCCTGTTGCAGGGTGTCCTTGTGCACTGGCATTCGGTAGAACAGGGCTCAAAGGGAGGAAAAACACGTAATTAATCAGCTTCTGTTCAAAGAGACATCGCAGTTCCTAGGTCTGACTTCACAAAACCTGCCAGGGCTCGGTGTAATTGCATTTGCGCAGGGGATTCCAGGCTTTCTAATGAGTTGTAAAATGTATTGTTATGAATCATTCCCAGCCCGGCAGGGCCTGGGAACACACCTCAGGCAGCCCACTGCACCGGGGGCTGAACAACCAGAATAAAAACTCCAGGTCCCAACGAGCTGACAGCTTCAGTACCTGACCAAAGACAGCAAGCCAGTGGGCAGGAGCAAGGATTAAACTCTGGCACTTTAACCCATCTTACTTGTCAGTGAGCAACAGGAAGCATTTTTAGAAGGGTTCCTGCTTTCAGATGTCTGCTTCTTGGTATTTCTGAGAAGCGTGGAGTGCAGGAGGCAGCTCCTGGTGGAGGTAGAGCGTGTGAGCTGTGTGACAAGGGGAGCCCAGCGGGACTTGGAGGGACACCCCCAGGGCACTGCCAGCTGACTGCTCTCTCCAGGACCTGTAGCTCTGTCATCTCGGCCTCTCTGGCTCTCTTCTCATGGTTTTGGTGGGTTTTGGGGTTGGGTGCTCCTGGTCTTGAAGAGCTGCGGGCTGCAGGGGGAGGAGGGTGGTGCAGGGGAAGCACCGAGTGGTTCCTTCTCTGGCCCTTCTCACGGGAGAAGGGAAATAAAAGGCAGAAGTCTCTGCGTGCTGCTTTGGGCTGAATCCTGATTTCACCTGAAGGCACAGAAGGTGCAGAGGGGCCGGGGTTGGGACAACGCTGGGGTTTTCTCTCTGGCTTTCTTGAGGGGAGTGGGAAGGCAGCGACCAGGCCGTGTAGATCCCCGGGTTGTCCTCCTCGGGGCTGCTGCTCCGTGCGGTGGGTAACACCACTAGAAATCCCCCCGGGGGTCCTGATTGCCTCCTGGAAAAAGCCTTTGGGCCCTTACCAGCTCCTCGGCGGGTGATCCAGGCGTGTTTTCAAACAGTCCTTCACTTTGTCTCTCTCCTCCTTCTTCCCCTGCAGTCCTTGTGACCCGGGAGGACGAATTCAACAACCGCCTGAACGTCAGAGCCAGCTTCAGGGGCTGCACGGCCCTGCACTACGCCGTGCTCGCCGACGACTACCTGACGGTCAAGCTGCTGCTGGATGGAGGTGAGCTGCAGGGTGCCAGGCCTAGACAAGATGCACACTCCTCCGTGTGCAGGGCTAGATATGATTCACTGTTTGCTTTAATTTCATTATCTTTTAGTCTCTGTGTTCTTAGTCATCTCCAGCTTTTTTTTTCTTGTGGGTGTCCTCGTCTTAATCACCGAGTCTTCCTTTTCTTCCAATGGAAACGCACCCACTGCTCTCTCTGCTTGGTATTTGGAACATTTCCCCTTTTGCAATGTGCCCTCTACCCATCCATCATACCCCCTCTGTACCCGTCCTGTGCCTGTTTTACTGGGATATCTGCTCTGTGGGCACGGGGACTGGTGGTTTGGGTTTAGTGGTGCAGAATCTGCAGAAATTAACCCAAGCAGTTGTTGGTCCTCCCTGTTAGAGCATGGAGTCCTTCTCATGAATCCTGCCTTACTGCTCTCTCTTACGTACTCATGACTCTAGATACAGATGCAAAGAGAGGGAAATCCATGGGTTATTTTAGGGTAGTTCAGGCTGGAAGCAACCACGGCAGAGCAAAGCCCCAGTTCAGAGCTGTGAAGCCACACCAGCTGGGTGCTGGGGACCTCCATGGACGTGGCACAGCCTCACTGGGCAGTGCTGGACTGGCCTTGTGGGGAAAAAGCTCATCAGCAAAAGTAGAGGAAAAGAAGAAGATGCTTTTAGCTAACAGAGATGTGCTGCCATGACAACAGTTTTTTATCTTTACCCTCCTGCTGATCTTTACCAGGATGACATTTGCTTCTTTGTTCCGCTGCCGTCCAGACCCAGAGTGTGCTGAATGTGTGCCTGGGTGTGCACGGTGCTGGTAAATCAGCTGCATCTGCCCATGGTGCATCTTGTTCTGCAGACCACGGAGCTAGTGAGTTGTGCTTGCCTCCAGATTTATGTCCTTCGTCCCTGCCATTCATCCTACAACAATTTCAGCTCCTCTCCTCCCCGTGGAGGCACCTAGGGCACCCTTGAGCAGCAAGCAGCAGCGCTGTGCCTGCCCTCAGGCGTGTGCTTGCGTGAGGGCTGCGTGCTGTCAGCCTGTCCCTGCAGTGGGGAGACTCCCTAGCGTCTCTCCAGCCCGATGCTGATCTCACAAACATTTTAGGAACGCCGTGATCTCTGCGGTGTGGGCGTCTCAGGGGTTCGGGGGTGAATTCTCGGGAAGCAGGCGGGCAGATAATTGTGTGACGTGTCCACATAGGGCTCATTCCGTCAGAAATGAGCTAAAAAAAGCTAAAAAGATAATGGAAAGTATCATCCGTGGAAAGTAAACATTCCCAGAAGAGATGAAGAATTAGTGTAGGAACATGGAGCCTCGATACTCATCTATATGTACGCCCGTTATCGTTCACAAATAGAAAAATAAGAGTGAAAGTCAGAAATTCAGAGCCACTGAATTCCACGCTTAACTCTGGGTCAGGATTTCTCTCTGGATACCACCCCCCTATTTCTTGGCTATGAATTAACCCCTGGAAAAGAGGCACGGAAAGAAAACCTGCTGCAAATGGGTTTAACCCAGGTTCTTGAGGTTTGCTTGAAGAGAAGGGAGCTCAAAAAGCCTCCAGCTGCTCTGGTGCCGTGGTGGTGAACACAGCAGGCAAAGAAGGATCTGGGGTGCTAGGAGGGAGGCAGCGTGGCCAAAGCGCTCGTCCTGGCAGCGCTGGGCTGGCAGCCACCACCTCGTGCCATCACAGGGAAGGGCTGGTGAAGAGTTTTTCCCAAGATACCTGGGTGTTCTTTCTGCTTTTCAAAGTCTCCATGAAATATAGATGCAAAGAAGTGAGGTTAGCACTGAGGAGTCTAAGCCATCGTGGATAAATAACAGCAAGCAGCAAGTCCAGCTCGTGTCCATCTGTCCCCTGCTCAGCTGTCGGAGTGCTGCTGCCGTGTGCGGGCCTCTTTTGATAGAGAGGGCAGTGCTTTTGGGGTGAAAGCTGGTTCTGTTTTGGGCTTCTGTGCTGGAGCCACTGTCCTCTCCATCAATGACCTCTTCTGCTGCTCGGCGCTCACAGAGAGGTCTTTGTTCCTGGCAGTGTCTCAGCTCGGAAGAACTCGCTTGGATCTCAGAAAAAAAAAAGCCCACAACAATCTGCAGGATTGTGGTTGTTTGAGTTCAAGAAGGGACCGAGTATGAAATCAGAGTGAAATGCTGAATTTAGCCAGTTGTAGCACGAAGGTTTGAGATCCTCATCGGCATTCTGTACCCAACCCAGCCCCGTGGAGATCCTCCTGGACACAGACTCAAGACAGAGACACAGACTTCATGCTAAGAGTGCATTTCCAAGTGCGAACCAGCATCTTGCAAAGACACAGGCGTGCCCCAGTGCTCGGACACAGGGATGAGCAGTCCACAGACACAATTCTCCGCTCGGTGCGTGATGTGCAAGACCACACTGAAGTCCTTGTAGGATCTGAGGCTAAATTTGTCCTTGTTCTTCACATTAACCTGCCTTTGCCTGTCCGTGCACAGCTTCCATTTACCCTCACAGTTACGCCAACCACTTGTGATGATTTAATCACAGCCACGTCCCCTCTCACCAGGTGAATTCCTGGGGGCTGGCAGGTGCTGCAGCAGCCCCTTTCCCCTCTCCTTTCAGCGTGTCCCGCAGGCAGAAGGGCGATTTCACGACAGGCGCGTGGCGTGACACCGGGATTTCCTTGCTCTGGCTCGGGGTGCTCCCCTCCTCCCCACTTGGGGCAGTGACAAAGCTTTTGGCTCGTGTAATCCGCGCTGAATGCGGGGCTGCGAGGCCGAAGGTCTCGGCGGCGTGGAGATGGAGCACCTTGCACAGCGTGCCTGCCGCCGGCCCTTTGTGAAGATAATTTCCCCCAGCGCTCTGCCATTGACATCTGAGAGGAGGACGTTTCCTGTTTGCTGACATGGAACAGGCTCCCCTCGCTCCCTCCTTTACACTTCCCTACACCTGCCTTTTTTACTAAGTGGCCATTTACTCTCCCCAACACTTCCTTCAGCTTGGTGCCCTGCCCTCGGGGCCAAAGCCATTAACTGCCCAGGCCCCTCTGTGCTGAAACAACCACCCCGTTGTGCGGCACCGTTTTTTAAGGGAAGCCCCCCCGTGTGCCTCCCCCTCGCCCCACCTCCCTGGCCTTTTGTGGCCTATTCAGCGACTCACTTGACCCCTCCAGGACCTTATCCCCTTGTGGTCAGCATGTGTGTGCCCAGCAGACCGCGAGACGAAGTCGCTGCTCTGTTGTCCTTCGGGGCAGTTGCTGGTGACATTTCACAGGCTCCTGACCTGAGCTGACACCATAAAGATCAGCGTTTCTGTGGAGGAGTGGGGTGGGAGCTCGCTTCTACCGCCTGCACCCGTCGCTGCTCCAGGCACGATCGATGCTGGGGGGCTTTGTGTGCGCCGCCGAGGAAGGAAGGCAGGGTCTGCAGCTCCGTGGGGATGGAGGCGTCTTGGTTGGAGAGGGAGCTTTGAGAATGTCACCGTTTAAACCTGCTGCATGAAACGGCCCCCGTTAAAAGGTTCTGCCTCCTGCCATAGAGCTCAGCCTTCCTCTGTCAGCCTTCTGAGTCCGATTCTGCTCCGGAACCTCTTGCCAAAATGCAGGTAGCACGAGTTGCCCAGGCAGGCGCTGTTCAGATTCACCTGAGATCACAGAGTTTTGGGGGAATCTCGGTTCCTGTGGCCCCCACCCCGTGCCCGTAAGCCCAGTGGCTCTCTTCCCACCCTCGTAGCCCCGGGCTCTCACCAGTAGTCAAACCAAGCCTTGCTGGTGGCTCAGGCTGCTACCAGCCGCTTGCCCTCCAGCACAAGGGCAGCAGCAGCTTTTTGGAGCAAGTACCTGGGACCACTTTATTAGGCTAACGTGGGAGGAAGGATTCAGGTTTAAAGGATTTTAGCAGTCTGAAACCTGGCATGTGAACAGTGAGGCTATGAGGGGCTGAGCCTAGCCAGGGGAACTGAGCAGAAGGAGGCTTGTAGGAGCCTGAAGAAGTTCACCAGGAACCATTTGGCCCTGTACAACTCTTGAGTGGTCTCTCCCTGGTTAAATCAAGCCCCATCTCCTTGCTTTTGTTTTAAAGGGTGCCTGTCCCAGCCCATGCATCAAGCTCTCGTTTGCTGTTGTGATATCGTGCAGCTGATGGCCAGGGTGTTAGTCCTGGTGTGAACAGGCATCGTGGCGTGGAAAGAGGGACAAAGAGGGTGCTAGGAGGAGAGTCCTGTTTCCCATCAGGGAATCGGGGTGCTGTAGGATCACAGAGCCATAAAAGCACCAAGGAGCATCCCTGGAGGTCACCTAAATCCAGCCCACTGCTCGAAGCAGCATCACTGGAGCAGCTCTGCGTTTGGTTGGGCTTTGAGTATCTCAGGGAACCGACACTCAGAGACCTCTCAGCAGTGCAGGGAGGCTGAGGCCAGGTCAGAGAATCCCAGAACCATCGAGGTTGGAAGAGATCTCCAGGATCACCTAGTCCAGACTCCTGCTCAAGTTGATCCATGCTGCCTTGTCAAGGGTGAGTGATCTGGTCAGCTCTGTGAGGGATCCACTCAGCTCTGCACACAGCTGTAATTAAAGGAGAGGGGACAGGGGGGAGCAGAAAGAAAGAATGTGCGTTTATGAAAACATTTTAGCTGCAGCTGCAACGACCCAGGCTTCAGAACTCGATTTGGCAGTGAATTTAGCAGAGGACATTTGTTGGTAATGCTTCACACTCACCTGTGAGATACACTAATTGCAACTAATTGCATCCTGTTGTAAGCAGGATGAACGAAAGGTGAATGAATTACCGAGCTGGCATGGCAAGGGGTGCTCTTCTGGCATCAGAAAGTGAAAGTGCGTGGGGTATTACCAGGAGAATTCAGGTTGTAGTTCGAGCTGGCTTTCATGTGGTGGAACCCCAGACCCTGAGTGGGGTCGTCCAGTTCTCTGCGCTCAGTGGTGTCACCAGCATCAGCAAGAGAAATCCGGGGTGACTAAACGAGGAGCTGAGGAAGCCAAGCTGCCAGAGATCCGTTACGCTGATG